GGGTGCCAAGATTAAAGCGTTGAGCCTGCTAATCTATATTTATACCTATATCTATACTACTATAAAAAATATGATTAGGGTTTAAGATTTCTGGAATTTTTAAACTAAGATATCTCTTTTTTGAAAGATAAAATTCCTAATCAGTATCATGTACTTTTGCTCGAGTGACAATTTGGTCCCCAAACTTTAAAATGTGACAAAACTCTCAAAATGTGACAATCCAGTATCCAAACTTTCAAAATGTGACAATCCAATACCCAAACTTTCAAAACGTGACAATCCAATACCTGTCGTTAACCAGTCCATTAATTAGTCACTAAGTGACATTTGAAAAGTCAAAAATGCCCTAAAAATGCCATCTAAATTCTCTTTTTCAACCATCCAAACATTGACAATAAAATGAACAGTCCCAAATTTTAGATTCTTCTAAACAGTCACCAAATTTTTTGAATAGAAGAGGCTAGGATTTAGGACTGTTCAGTTTTTTGTCAATGTTTGGATGGTGATAAAGAGAATTATATGGCATTCGAAGGGCATTTTTTACTTTTCAATTGTCACTTAACGGCTGATTAACGGACTGGTTAACGAAAAGTATTGCATTGTCACATTTTGAAAGTTTGGGTACTGGATTGTCACATTTTGAAAGTTCGGGTACTAAGTTGTCGCATTTTAAAGTTCGGGGACCAAATTGTCACTCGAGCCAAAGTATAGGGTACTGATCGGGAATTTTCCTTTTTTGAAATAGGGTCCCTATCTATACGAGGGTAGAAAATGTAATTTGAATATTATTATTCATTGCATTCAATTCCCTCTCATTAAATTCTATTTAAGGTAATTCTCATTCACCCTCATTTAACCATACATTTAAGGCATTTTTGTTTTTCTTAAGGGAAATTGTCTAAAACTCACCATGAGTTTTCAACATTTCTCTTAAACTCACCACAACTTTTCAAAATGTCTAAAACTCACCATGTCAGTAAGTTTTTATTTTCCAAAACTTACCTTCCGTTAGTGCACCTTTAATCCTTCTTAACAGAGGTGTCCACATCAGCATAAATAACAATGTTCATGACCAAATTACCCTTGGATGGTGAGTTAGAGGAAAAAGGGTCTTTTTTAGTTTTCAATTTCATGTTTTTTTTGCATTTTTAGTGTTTTGCTATAATTTCCAATGCTTTTTATAATTTATGTTTTTTTAGATTTTTCTTTTTTCTACAATCTATAAATTTTCCTATATATTTTGTTATTTATTTGCAATTTCTGTGTTTTTCTATAATTTTTGGTGTTTTTGTACAATTTTTATTTTCTAATTTTGTTTTTCAATTTCTATAGTTTCTATAATTTGAAAATAATTTTTTATTTTGTTTGCAATTTCTATAATTTTTTATATTTTTTGAAATTTCTGTGCTTTATGTATTTTATATTGAAAAATATTTTTTTGAACTTTTCCTGTTTTTCATGTCTAATTATTAAAATATATGTATATATTTTATTTTTTTTATGAAGATTAAAAAGGTAATATATTAACACCCGTTAGTCTGTTTAACATGAAGTTAGTGACATGGTAACTTTTAGACATTTTGAAAAGTTGTGATGAGTTTAAGAGAAATGCTGAAAACTCATGGTGAGTTTTAGACAATTTCCCTTCTTTTAATTACTAGATTCCACTATTTAAATCCATAGATAAATAATTCTAATAACATAAAAAATTAAACAATTTTGGGTCAAATAGGCCAACCCATGTTGTATTATTGTTGCCACAATTAAATAATAAAAAATTAAAACTTGATAAAATGAAAAAATATAGAAATTAAAGAAAAATTTGGGAACATATTTAAAATAAAAAATGCCATAATTAAATAATAAAAAATCAAAATAAAATAATATATAAAAATATAAAAAGGAATTGAGCATATCTCTAATATTATATATTCATTATACTAAATAAAATTAAGTATGAAATGTAAGAAATATTTTTATTAACGATGAAAATGGAATTACAAATATAAAATAAACCTTGAAATTAAATTAAATGATGTCATAGACAAATAATAAACTTTTTAAAATAAAAATACAAAAAATCACAAAAATAAAGAAAAAAATAGAGAAATTTTTGGGCACATATTTGATGTTATATATTTATAAAAAAATAAAATATTGGGTTCATCTATAATATTATACATTTATTATATTGAACAAAAATAAGTATTATACATAATTTTGTAAATGATGGAGATGCAACAATAAATGGTTTGGGTCAAATGGATTAACCAATGATGTTATAGTAAAATAATAAATTTTTTAAAAAATAAAAAAATGCATAAGCAATAAAAATATAAAAATTATAAAAAAATTGGACACATATCTAATATTATATATTAATTATACCAAATAAAAATTAAGTATGATAAGCAAACATTATTTATATAATGTAGGCAAAATATATAATTTAAAATTGATTTGAAAGTAAGGTTATTTTCCTATCTAGATGGTGGGTTAATGATCAAACTTTTCAAATAAACCTATGGTGATGTCATAATTGAATAATAAATATTTAAAAAAGATAGAACATAAAAAATGAAAAGTATAGAATTTTGTCGAAAACATTTGGAGACATTTCTAATGTTATATATTCATTATATTAAATAAAAAATTATTAAAATAAAAATTATTTTTATTTATGATGGAAATAAAATACAACAACAACAACAACAACAACAATAATAATAATAATAATAATAATAATAATAATAATAATAATAATAATAATAATAATAATTGATGAAGGGTGATTTGGCCCAACCTAGCGAAAAGGGGACACGTGGACACGACCTGACTAAGAGATGACAGCTCAGCTTGGCAAAGCCTAGTTCGCAACGTTTGAGCTCAGGTACTCCGTCACCTCGGCACAAAATCTCCTCGACGTCGGGGCACCTCGGCACTCAATCCAGTTCGAAACTAGAGAACCGAAGTATCAGCTTGGGGCTACCGACCCGAACCGCTACGTAATGACTCTAGAAGTTTCTCCAGTAGACTTCGACCCACATGGGATCACGCTGCGTAACGGCAGGCCTAATCTTCTCCCCGCCCGGATCGGGCGAAATTGATAAACTTTATTAATTAATACGTTACTCCCCAATTAAAGCGGAAACGGATCCCCTCAGGACGAAAATCCCAGAACCGATCGGCAAAACCCGCGAGAGCTCAACTATATAAAGGCACCTACCCCAATGACAAAAGATACGCGTGATTTTTATACTCTCTAGCTCTCTAGCTCTCAAATCTTTCAGCTCGCACCACAGTTTACTAACTTAAGCATCGGAGCGACCTCGCCGGGTTAGTCACCCCGGGTTCTCTGATCCGTTGTCTTGCAGATTCACCTAATTTGCTGCTCGACTGGATGCCAAATCATCCTCCAACAGGGAGTAGTCAAATCGCGCTACATCAATAATAAAAATAATAATAACTGTCATTATAAATTAAAATTTCAACATGCAACGCACATCAACACTTACTAGTATTAAAAAAATAGGGATGTTGAACCTTTGTGGTAAAAACAATTCTTTCTTGCGCCTCCTTCATTTACCGGTATCTCGTAGGGGGTAAATTAGTCAACCGGGTAATTGATGATTTTTTTTGACATCCGAATGACAATATAATGAATTCCATGGAAGTATTATTTCCCGGAGAGCATCATTTCTCCAGGTAATTGATATTATCTGTTGGTGGGTAAATTACTTACTCACTTGCTGAAAACATTAAAAATCTCTGGTCAAAATCTTTACCTGGGCAAGCACATGACTTGAGTACTTAAAAAATGAACGAGGCCTTTGAGAGCAGTTGATAGTTGATACATCGATTTATTTGTTTTTTTATTTTTTATATGCCTGGAGTAGAACCTTACAGAGATGAATGAAAGAGTTCCCTAAAGAAAAGAGGTGGGTCAACATGAAAAAACAAAAAAAAAACTAAATCACTTAAGTTTTGAAAAATAAAAAAGTAAGGTAATGGAGAGTCATTTTCTCTCCCATCGCATGAACAAGGACTGAATCATTTCAACTTAGCCATATTCTTACTCATATTTTATTCCTATTGTTGGTGTCCACTACCTCAAGCCTAGGAATTGGCACAATTGAATGAAATTACGTATCAGGTTAATAGTATAAAAGAGCTTGTTTGGGGGCATTTTGCCCAAATGATACTTTGTCATTTATGGGCAAATAGGCATTTTAATTTTTTGAAACCAAAAAAGTTGTATCATATTTGATTTAATTGTTAGGGTAAATTGCTGAAACTTCTGAAGTTTGGTAATTGTAATCACCTCTAGACTCTCTAACACAGTTGCAAGTAAAACCCCTTTTGTTAGAACATTATAACAAGAAGCATGATAATGTTCAAAATATCCATGCAGTTGATTTTGACCAAAATGTTTATTTTCTAAATTTTCTCTTCATATCAATTGTTGCCTCAAATCCTTTCAATCTCTTTTCTGAAATTGATTTAGTTTCCAAATTTGCTTTTCATATTAATCGCTCAAAAGTAAAGCTGCAGGTAATTAGATGGATATTTTAGACGTTTTGTACCTCTTATTAGAGGATTCTAAGAAAAAGGGTCTAATTACAACTGTGTATGGTTTTACCAATTTGCCTTAATTTTTAACGTTAAACAACTTGGAGGGTCTCTTTGTATCATTTATGCTTTTATACGTAGCGTCAAGGGAGGTTTTTGGAGATGTCAATGTTCAGGGGGAGGTTAAAGTATTTTCTAAAAACCACAGTAGGTTTAAATGATTTATCCATTTTCCGATTTTCGTTGTTTTTTATAGTTTCTACCCAATGAGAGCTTTCTTTGTACACGTAGCAAAGTCTGCACGTGCTTTATAATTTGCACGTGATCGTGATATATTTGGTGGCGTTCCATGTCATTCTGTCGAGGACAGAGAAGCCGTACTGAAGTCGCTTGCCCGATCGTTAGATTGTGAAAACGGGTATAAAAGAACAAGTTGATGAATAGGCTTAACCGCAAGGTTAAGGAGGAAAGGAGTCGAAAGAGAACACACGAGAAAGAGAGGGTATAGGAAGATGCACAGATTCAAAGCCTTAATTCTCAGGCGCTCTGTTCGCATTCCTAACTTTCTTCCCCATTACAGAAACCTCTGCTCTCAATCTAGCGCCGTCGTTGATAATGATTCTACTGAAAACCAAGTGAGTAGCGGATGTATGCAAATTGAATAATCAATTCATCTCTTGCTCGACTATACGTATGTCTTATTATCTTTCAGGTACTAGTAGAAGGCAAAGCTAGTTCAAGAACAGCTATTCTCAACAGACCCTCCGCTCTTAATGCTCTCAATACTTCAATGGTACTCTTATTACTCTATATTCATGGATTTTGCTTTCTAGGCTTTTTTTGTGTAGGTATTTGGTTGGCACCCACTACAGAAAATTATGTATTGAGGTCGTTTTTGTACAAGGGCACTTGGATTAAGAAAATTTCTTTCTGGGTCATTGTTGCTCTGGCATTTATTTGGCAATAAAAGGAAGACTTCACATTTGGTTTGTTTCTTTTGTCCTCAGGGGGCTCGCTTGAAGAAACTGTATGAATCCTGGGAAGAAAATTCTGATATTGGGTTCGTTGTAATGAAGGTAAGCAAGCATTTTCCATCTTGGCTATTCGGTTCATCATGCCAATACTTATCTATACGTTATTAAAGGAAGACTTGGACATTTTGTATACTGAAGGGTAGTGGCAGGGCGTTTAGCGCTGGTGGAGATATTGCTACTCTCTATCGTTTAATAAATGAAGGTATTAGATCATTTTGGTTTTGTTATTAGGATCTTTTATTTGGAAATAATGCTAGAATTGTTTGTGTAATGTACTAATAGATTTCTTGTCCAGTTAAAGTGAAGAGGGTCTGTGGTTTGATGGTGTGTGTGTGTGTTTCTTGGGGTAATTTGAGTTCAGTCCACCTCAGAATTCATAATGCAATCCTTCAGTTTGGGTCAGTGTCGGGGGGGGGGGATGCTGTTTATAGGGGGGTGGGAATAAATACATTTGGGGGAATTAATTTTTGAATTCTGAGGTGGAGTGGACTGTAAAAAGGCCTTTTTTCGTCCGCTGTTGCATTAAAATAAGTTGTCACATCATCATTTTATTCCACAAAAGGAAAAAAACCATGTTTGCTTATGCCTGTTTACACAAAAATGCTACATAAACGTCATATTCTAGATTTTTATGAAGGGGTTATCCTTAAATTAATGTTCCTACAATTGTTGGGGTGGGGGGTGGGGGAGCAATTGCCCCCATATGAGGTGGCACACAGGGAAATAAAAAGTGGTGTACTTTTCTGATATATTCCATCATGATTGCAAAAAAGTACTTTTAAATGCATAATCAGCATGTACTTCTAAGTTCTACCAAACATGATTTGTGCACGTTTAAGGAAAAAAAATTGTAGCACAATCAGGCACCAAGTTCCTGATTGATTATGCTCCAAATGCAACAACTGATAAATGCCAATGACATGTCATTGTGTTTCTCCTTTATTTTTCAGTTGACTAACTCACCATCTGAAATGGAGCCAATCCTAGTTATATTATTAAGAAAAGAATGTAATGAGGCCCTTTCAGGTTTCCAGGAAATGGACCCATTTTCTAACTTTTCATAACAATAACAAGTCACTCTGCTTCATGTGGTGGCACTTTGGATTCAATTGGTATGGAAGCATAGACTTAGATAATTTTATTTCATGTGCATAATCAATGGAAAAGATGACACATTGCGGCCTTTCTTGATTGTTAATGGCTTAAACCTTGAACTTAGCTCTATTTTGTAGAGAGAGATAAAATGACTGGCTGTTAGAAATTCACTGGCTTCATTGCAACATCAATTGTTTTGGCTATCTAATAGAAGGTATTTGGGTCTCAAGGGATGAAAACATCAGGGTATTTATCTGAAAAAGTCTACCACCACTACCTTAATGTATTGAGTTAACATTCTCAAAAACAGCCATCCGAGTCTTAGAGATTAAAATGTCAAGGTAGCTACCTGAAAATAGATGTCCATATAGATGCTTTGTGCTCTGTTGACTGAAATTTTGATATGGGTACTGGGCTTATGGAATTTGGAATTTTGGACGTATTGAAACCTCAGCCAAGTGCATGGCCAGGCATTGTAGAAGATTTCATCCTGGAGCTGCCAAATGCTGTTGTGTTGTATCAATCACCATTCAAGGGAACGGTTGGTCAAAAGCTTATTAATCAGATTAAAATATGAATGGTAGTCTGTTATGTTAATATAGAGCATTTTTTATATTTCCAGTATATGTTTGAAGCCTCACAGAAAAGGGTCTTATTCCGTCTAAATTGTTGACTACTAGAAATGGAAGAATTCAAAAGTATCTTACTAAGGTTGCATTTGGCATTCCTTATTTTAAGTTCTTATCTCCTTTTTGCAGTTAAAAATTCAGTATTCATAAGGGCATTTTAACTGCAAAAAGGAGGTAAGTCCTTAAAATAAGGAATGCCAAATGCAGCCTAAATGACATGCAGAGCAGCTTGGTTGAAAAGTGATGTGGGATCAGGTCTTTTTGGACATTGTCCACTTTACATTTACAGTGTATATAAATCTAACTCATTTTTCTCTTTATCTTGATTGTTCATAATTTGTTTATCTCCAATTTTGGTGCATGAGCTCTGTATTGTGTACATCCTTCCAATCATTAATATATTGTTAGTTTTGTTGCTGATTAAATATCTATCCATCCCCCCATTTCCCTCATGACCCTTTCTTCTAATCTTTTTGAAAGTATTGCTTCATACAGACTGGGACTATGTACTCAGATGTTTTCTTTTTGGTTTCATTTTTATGGTTTTTATTTGTGCTCAGTCCTGGTACAGTCTTCTGAACTATTTAGTTTATTCTATGCAGGGAAGATGGCTGAATGTAAAGAATTTTTTGGGACGTTATATAGTTTTATATACCTTCTAGGAACATATCTAAAGCCACATGTAAGTATTCAATGGTTCAATTATGAAATTAATGATAGAGTTCAGAAATACTTCTGTGTTTTTTCCCAGTTCATTTCTGGTTGTTATAAAAATTCTTTGGGATATTTAGTTGATGGCAATGTATCATATCACTTTTTTCTATGGTTTGAATAATAAGATGAGACAGAGAACAACATTTATTTATATTTGTTGTTTTTAATGATTTTAATCAGTAGTATATATGCTTATTAACAAGAGAAAGCCAGTATACAAGAGGCACAAAGAAAAGGAACAAAAATGAATATAACAACAAATGGCAGCCTTCCAACCTACTCAAACTGATCCTCAACAAAAGCCACTGTATTATAGCCTATTAGTTTGGTGACTAAGCTGTGAGTGCCCCATATCCTGTGACCTTTTATCTAGAAAAGTTTCAAAAACCAGCTCCAACTACTCTACAACAACTAACAAGGTATCATAAAACACATGTTCCAAAGCATAATACGTTGATGCTGTTTGGATCTCTGACAAAACAAGCACAATGAAAAGATAGATGCTCAAGCACTGTAATTTCTTCCTAACCAACTTGGACCTACTATGTGGAATTAGGAAGTGGTAATTCTAGATGTGTGATATTTCCCCCCAATCAACATTTATGTTGTATCCTCCCTCCTCCTCCTCTTGTGTGTGTGTCTTAGTCAATTAATTGTGATCCACTCTCAATATGCTGAATAAGATCTGTGCCTTATTTAGTACTACTCGGGCTACATTTCACTTTGACTTGCATAGTATGTTCTGCAAATTCCTTATAAATACATCAATAATTGAGGTGTAATTTCAGGTGCTTTTATATAATTTAAGTTCTCTTATTCTGTTATTAATTAGAGTCGGTCATTAATGATCTTGAACTGTTATGATGATTTCCTTCTAGGTGGCAATTTTGAATGGTATTACCATGGGGGGCGGAGCAGGGGTTTCAATCCCTGGTACATTCCGTGTTGCAACTGATAAAACTGTATGTGTCTCCATTACATACATTTTATATTCATTTAGATCTTTGATACTTCTTCATCTTTATATTGGTCTATTTTGTTTTGTACTTGAATGCTCTGATTTGATAAGTAGGTTCCACTCTTCTCTGATGTATATGTCATTGTAGGCTTTGGGGACATGCATGCAATATTGTTTTTTTGGTGCCAGAAAAGTATTGTTTTATTTATTTATTTTTACTAGATGAAATTTACTAATTTTTCTCATATCATGGTCAAAATGCAGGTTTTTGCTACCCCAGAAACTCAAATTGGTTTTCATCCAGATGCTGGGGCATCCTTTTACCTTTCCCATTTACCTGGTTATTTAGGTACTTCTTATTGGTGCTATTCTAACTTCTGATTGAAAATTCTCTTCCTTTGTGATTCATTTGCATTATGAATTTGGTGATCCAATCAGTGACACCAATACATTTTTCTTAAAATTTGCTGGGAATTACTCTTATATGTATGCCATTCACCATTGCTGATTGATGAAAAGACATCATTGTCAACAGCTTACATGAGTACATTTTTGTTTATGTTCTTGTAATTGATTGTATTTGTATTGGGTTTATCAAGTTGTCATCATTGTCAAAATCTGTACGACTTTGGAAGTCAGCCATTTATCTCCTTTAAAACAACATTATAGAAAAGCATGATTGCTATTTCTTAATAAATGTCATCCTAAGCATCACTCGACCTCTTGACCAATTAACTTTCACTTGCAAGTCCTTTGCATGTCTCATCTACCGCTACTTGTATATGTTTGATTGCCTAAAGTCCTGTAGCAAACAAACTATTGAGGTTGTGTGACATGACACTTTACTTTAGTTGGTTATGTGGATGTATAATGACTATTAAAATGACTGACATTCTCTATTCCCTGATATTGCTTGATATGTGTGGTGCCTATATATGACTCTTTCTCTTTGCAGGAGAATACCTGGCTTTAACAGGAGAGAGGTTCAATGGACCAGAAATGATTGCTTGTGGGCTTGCTACACACTATTCACTCAGTGCAGTTTGTTCCTCTCTCTCTCTCTCTCTCTCTCTCTCTCTCCCTCCCTCCCTCTCTCCCTCTCCTCCCCCCTCCCCCCCAAAAAACAAAACCCTAATCCCTCCAGTTTATTTCTCTATAATGTTTTGAGTATAGACCAAGATGTTTGAACTGGAAAATAGTCAACTAATCCAACCGGATTGGCAGTTTGGTCGGTTGAACTGTTAGATGGGTGATTAACCATCTAAAGTAGTGGGAAAAAATCATTTGGTCTCTTTTTTAAGTTTTCAGAAAATTGTTTCTAGATATATGTTTCTTCTTAGCTATGTAAAACTTATGATGTTTTAACAGAGGCTACCTTTGCTCGAAGAGAGACTTGGTACATTGGTAACAGATGATCCTTCTGTTATAGAAGCTTCTCTAGAGCAATATGGTGACCTTGCCTATCCAGATAAGAGGAGTGTTATTCACAGGTGGTTCTCATTATCTTGATTTTTCCTTCAGATTTCTTAGTTCTTCCCAGTTAATGCATTATTTTCCTTCGCATCTATGATTTGTCATTTCATATGACTGTAATTACAAACAAAAGCATCATTTTAGGACATAAAATTCATCCTAGGATTTCATAGAATCTGGATAGACACTTTTCTGTGAGACCTAAAGAAAGATTCTATGAGATTATAGCACATGCTTAAAATTGGTTCTCGAAGATGGTGGGACCCATGTTCTGATACCTGGTAAGCTTGTAATGTTCTTTTTTTTTTCTTAAAGTAGAGCTAGGCAAGAATCTGAAGAAGCCCTCCGAGGGAGAACCCATCTGAAGGTTTTATCATAGATATAGGAATTTAATGATTAAATCTTCTTCCTTCATAGTTGTAGCAATTACATCATGCATGCACTTCTGTCACCAGCTGATTCTTGTTTTTTGCTTGAACATCTCTCTTACATGCCTCCATGCAAATAGAGTGTGTGCTTTCCTGCCTTTCTCTTGTATATAATAGAAAATCACTAGTTTTATGCTTGTGTACTATAGAGGTCCTACTTTCTAAGTACATCATCTTCTTCATTCTTTCCAGTATTGAAACAGTTGACAAGTGCTTTGCCCATGACACTGTTGAGGAAATTATTGGTGCTCTTGTGAGTATGAAGTTGATTTCCATACCTTTCTTTTGATTTGTAAATAACTATTGGATGATTAAATTTCATCATTGTTTTCAAGAAGGGGCGGTTCTACCCATGGTTTCATTTGTCTTGGTCACGTAACAGTTTCTTTCAATTAGAAACTGTGTTGAAAAGGGGAGAAAAGTTTGTTAGTTACTAGAACAGTATAACTCAATTCGGTCTTAGTTGAATTGACTTGAGTATGCTGATTTTCATTTTGAGTCTTTAAGTCATCCACATTTTCATGTTCTGTATCTGGCAACTATTCTCTCTCTCTCTCTCTCTCTTATGTTTACTATGACATTTGTTCTTTCACTCCCTGCCATAATGCCTCCAATTAACCTAAACATATTCTTAAATCTTTTCAAAGGAACAGAGGAAACCCATGTGAATCTGTTTTAAGAGTAGGTTTCTAGCAAGATAAAGGCCTGCCAATGATTATTTTCATTCACAACCATCTCAAAATAATCATTAGACTCAAATGTTAATAATATTGGTGCATTACATATTCGAGCTTTTGTGATTATTTTCTCTGCTTTTTTTAAGCCTAAATTTTCCCTGATGAAGCCATGAGTGGTGTACTTCAACTATTATTGACAACTTTCCAATGGAGGAATGTATAACTGATATCAATGACAACTTTCTCAGGAAAATGAGGCAACCAGATCATATGATGAGTGGTGTACTTCAACTCTAAGGAAATTAAAAGAAGCCTCACCTTTGAGCTTGAAGGTTTCCCTAAGATCTGTGAGTCCCTTTTTAGTTGTTTGTCTTCGTTACATTGGACAATGCTTACATGCCTTATATCCTGACTCTATTAATGACTTGTTTAGATACGAGAAGGTAGGTTTCAGACTCTTGATCAATGCTTAGTCCGTGAGTATCGGATGTCTCTTCAAGGGATCTCTAAACAGATTTCCAGTGACTTCTGTGAGGTATGGAAGGCTTTCTGTTCCTGTAAGTAGAATAACTTATGTGTTTTTTTTTTTTCTTTTTTGTAACATTTTATGTTTTTACAACATTTTAGGGGGTTCGTGCACAATTGGTGGATAAGGACTTTGCCCCAAAGGTATGTGTATATGCTTTGTTCTCCCTGGCATGTATGATGAACTAATGAAATCCACAGTTGGGTTAGTTGTGTATCCCCCCCCTAGAAATTCAGGGTTTACTTCTAAGAAAAATCAAGGAAAATATGGTTGGTAAACAGAATTAATTAAGTCAAGTATTTCTCCGCCCCCCCCAAAAAAAAAAAAAAAAAACTTAGATGAAAATATCTGGTCTTTGTGGTGGCGTAAATAAGGGTTTATAGGGAAATCATATTAGGTATGATGATTTAATAATTGCATGGGCTTTGTTCAATGGTGGGAAAAGAATAAAGTAGCTTGGAACTTTAAGAACAAATCAGAAATAAACTATTAGTATCGTTGCTATAAGTCTGTGTAAGGTCTATATTGTTGCTGCAAAAGAGGACAATAATTGGAATAAAATAGTGCCTTTGGCTTTGTTTGTTTGGTATTCATGCCAAGTTTTCTTGATGGTGCTGATTCCTTCAAGCAGCTATTATCTCCTGATTCCTAATAGTGCTTCTAGGTGCTGATTCCTAGAGAATGCCTAGGTGTTGATTCCTGGTTATTTTCTTTCTTTTCCTGTTTGTAGGTCCATCCTACATCAATGAGAAAGTTATTGATGTCCACAGACATATGAATACTGGCCCTTTGTATCCATAAAAAATTCTTCTATTATGCTCCTTTCAAATAACCCAAATTACCAACTGGTGCCAGGGGACTGTATCACTTCCTCCATTGATCATTGGCAAGAACATGATATAAATAAATAACATAAAAAATCTCATAGAAATTAAGTAGCTAAAAGAAAAGTAAGAGATAGTAGATTGCTTCTTCAGCTGTTTTGCACATGGCACAAATGTTAATTTGCATTCCCCTATCATTGAATACCATAAGAACCTTATAGGACCTAACAGAAACGTTCTTTACCTAAATACAATAGCCACATAAAATCTCCCACTCCTGGTGAAACGTTCTTTCCTTAGGTACAACCTGCATCATCTGTGCTAGTCCTCTAGTCAAGAAATTTCGTCCCTTTGCTCTGGGAAAATAAGGCCATCCTCCAGCTTCTTAAAATGAAGCAAGCATTCCATGAACTCTCTATTTAAAAGGGGCCTAAGGGAGATGGGGTTCCAACTTCTTTGCACATATTGCATATAGATCACTTACCAAAATTGATAGGGATGGAACCTCTTTGGAGTCCATCTTGGCAATGGGAAACCAAATGCGCTAACAAGTATGAACTATGCATACACACGCAGACAAGATTATACACATTTATTTTATTGGATTATATCCTAATTGGATTACAGTGGGTTATATCTGGATTTAATCTGATTCTATGGCATCCAATTCCAAACCTGCTTAATTGGAGTTGATTTGATTTGGACCTAAGCTATGACCCAAAATTGACAGCCTTATGTGGTGGATTCTCTTGGAAAAGGAAGGTTAAAATGGGATTTAATGCAACTATGTGTGTGAGTGAGAGTATGAGAGAGATTCATAGCTTATTTTGCTTTACTATAAATAATTCCTTTTGGTCATTGATTTAAAAAATGAAGACCTAATGTTATCATCATCTGAAACATGCAGTGGGATCCTCCATGTTTGGAAAAAGTAACCAAGGACATGGTAGACAACTACTTTTCACCACTTAGTGAACTCGAGCCTGACCTAGAGCTACCCATAAAACTGCGAGAAGCGTTTACGTGATTGGAGGTATGCTAAAGGTAAAATGTTTCAAATTTAATTTAATTAAAAAAATGGAGATGTGTTAATGGTAACATGTTTCAAGTTCAATTTAATTAAAAAAAACTATCTTTTCTAAGAGGCACTTTGATTGATTATTGTGTTGTGGATCTCCTAGTACAAGCCATCATGCAGATTATTGTTTCCATCTGATTATTGGATATTTCTGTGAATCATCTGCAATGTTTTCCTGATCTCTGAAAAAGAAAAAAAATTGAGATAATAGCTATATTAATGTCGTCCTCTTCATGTCAGGAGGATCTCTTTAGGTGAAACTCATTAAATGGTTCTTACAAGCCATAAAATCCATAACCACCTTATTTGCTTTGCATGTACAACATATGCATCAAAGATGTTTTCCGCTGCAATGGCATTGATATTCCTCCAATCTTGTGTGTGTGTGTGCTTCAAACACTTGTTATCAGATATATGTACTGGGGTGGGGCATAGCCCAGAAGAGGAAGATGCAAATGTATTTTGCAGGTTAACTAATGGCACGAATCCCCTCTTTGCTTCTTCTTCTTTGTTTTTTCTGATCTGATTCTTTTAATTGTTGTGATTCTGGTGTTCAAAATGCAGATGCAGATTTATGGCGGTCTTCTTTCTTTGGGAGGAATAAATTGGTATAACCTATTATTGGGTCTGGTGAAGAGAAGTTGATTATTCTTTGTAACACTTGCATTACATTTTATTTTTGGCTTTGGTAAAGTACTGATGAATTCATACATCTATACATGTATCTTTCACTTGTGATAAATTATGATGATCAAGGAGAAAATACACCAAAAGGAAAGGGTTGTTTTGTTGAACGTGGCAATTGTTTTTGTTTTGGAAAACAAAGTGGCCAAGAGTTGTGAAAAATTCTCTTATCCATACTTTAATACCATATTCAATCTCCATTGCCAATGACAACTTCTAGCAAGGAGTATGGATTCATTATTGAAGCTGAAGCAGCAAAACATGGTGATGGTGTTGATTGTTGAAGCACCATTATTGGTTGGGGCGTCAGATCTCTGCTTGCAAGGTTGTTCTATTGGTTCGACAAATGAGTTCAGTGCAAAATGGAGTTGTCTCAGTTAAAACCGATTGACGAAGATAAGAGTGTTGTGTTTCGTATATCTTGGGGAAGGCAGGCAAATGTATCTTGTAAAAGCAAAGTTACTGCAAGTTCATACTTTAAGATGATCTTCTATGTTTTTTTCCCCTCTTTTTGATGTGCCTAATTAACCGAGGCATTATTGCGTAAAATCTATAAATATGGATTCGAATGGCACAACAAAATAAAGTAAAACATAATAAAGAGAAGTAAGAAATAAAGCATACGGATTTATGTGATTCGATTTATAACCTACATCCATGGGCAAAAGAAACAATGAAGATTACCGAGTCATGCAACTCTCACATAAACCTTAAATCCCAAAACCCTCAAAACCTCTTGAGCTCTCTTTCAAGCCAAAAGATATGCAACTCTCACATAAACCTTAAAGCTTAAATCCCAAAACATTCAAAACCTCTTGACCTCTTTAAGATGTATAGAAGAACCTCCAAACTAAATAACYCATATTCGGACCAATAAGTTGAATATAAATCAGGTCTATATCGCCCCTACACTTCAACAAAAAACTACCATAAAATTTTGCTTTTGTTGTTTTCTCCAATTTGAAGTCACATAAACCTTAAAGCTTAAATCCCAAAACATTCAAAACCTCTTGACCTCTTTAAGATGTATAGAAGAACCTCCAAACTAAATAACYCATATTCGGACCAATAAGTTGAATATAAATCAGGTCTATATCGCCCCTACACTTCAACAAAAAACTACCATAAAATTTTGCTTTTGTTGTTTTCTCCAATTTGAAGTGGGTAACAATAAAAAAAAAAACAGGGCACAAACATAATAAATATTTTTGACAGAGTCCTACGATTTTCCACATTTTTTTTGAGTGAAACTACAAATTTCTACTTGAGTTCCAAATAAATAGTTACACAAGGGTCGATATTACTCGATACCCTTTATGTGTTTGTTACTTATTGGATGGGAAACCAAGAATTTCACAAATTTTTTGTTGTTGAACTCTTGAAATTTTGGCCAAATGAGTTAATGAAAATTAATATGGATTGTGATTGTGTGCCATCTGGTGCTCCCTGCTAGAGGACAGCTTGGATGATGGACTGACTAGGTCAGCTGGCCAAGTTGTAAGAAAACTATCAGAGTAACCAGGGTGCTTTACCCGAGGTGGGCACTCCAATGCTTAAGTTAGCGATGAATGGACTTTAAGAGCTAGAAAGGGAGAAAGCAAGAGAGCTGTGAGTGCTAAATTACGTGTACCTCCTCTAGTCGAAGGGGGTGCCTTTATATAGGTGCAAGTAGTCGTGAGCTTCACGTAGCACGCCCGAGATCTCCGGGAGGACATGACTTATCTACCTACCATGCTTGGAGGTGGTTTCATGCTCGGAGACGGTTTCTGCGTAAACTGATAAAGCTTATCCGATTGCTTTCGAAGCAGGCGGCATGGGAATCAGCTCCATTGGTGGGGTTATGTGATCCCAGAGGATCTAGGGATGATAAGGCACACGCAAGAGAGGCCGGTCACCATGTTAGGTTGATTGCCAGCTGGACCTTGGTGGGATGTCTCCCCTTACGTCGAGGTGACTATAGATTGGCCTTGCCATGGTGGCGTGGGTACACTCTCATGGTGTGCACGATGTGTTTGAGGTGCATCCAAGGTGGCTCCAAAGTGGAGTCTATGATCTAGGCAAAGGCAAGTCATTGCCTACGTGGTGACGAGGTGTTAAGCAATGATTCGGAAGTGCCACGTGGCATGATGTCACTAGAGGGCCAAATTCTCCCTCATCAATTGCCCCCACTCCCAAGTGGAAGTCGGTTCGGTGAAGGAAGTAGCTTGCTATAGGTCTCTAGGCCGAGGTGACTGGGTTCAGTAGGTTCACTATTGTTGGTTCAATCTCTCACCTGAACCGGTCGATAGAGCATGTTGGGCGAGCAAACATTGCGGGGCAAATTTAAACTTTGAACTGAGTGCGCATATTTGAATTTTGAATTAGGTTGTACTTCAAATTTTGAGTTCTTCCTCGGAACTTGAAGCGGGGTGTCTCTTCGAACCATTGGATTGAGAGCATCTCGGCCATTAGTTGCTTGAGTCCCTTGCCTATATATAGGGGGCCCCTGAAGGGTCATATTTGCACTATTTTTGGAGTCTTTTGCAGAGCAGTAGAGTGAGAGATCAGAGAGTTCAGCGAGAGCAAGCGAGGTCAAGTCTTGTTCGGTGAAGTCTGTCCTGCTCGACGAGGTTGGTAACACTTAGCGAGGTCGATTTACTTTCCATGGTCATGTCAGTGAGTCCTTTCCCTTGTTTTAAGTTATGTCTTCGAGTGAGTCAGAGAGGGAGTACCACTAGGCTACTTGATCCGAGGCGGAGACCTTGGCTCAAAAGTGATGAGGTTCCCAAAGAGGGACCTCCACCTCCCAACACCAACCCAAGATGAGATCTCAGTTCGGGCCTACTAAGATAGTTGGTGAGGAAATCGTTGACTTGATCATGACATACTAGATACCCAATATCTTCAACTACATCCAACCTAGTGAGGACTAGCCTGGAGTAATAGGCGGACCGAAATCTATGCCTTTCTACAACTCTATCTGCTCAAACGCTCCTAGGAATAGAATGTCAGCAAAGCTGTCGGAATCCATAAGAATACACTTCACCTCAAAGTCATGGATGATGAGTTTGACTACAAGGGTGTCATCATGAGGGTAATGGACCCCGGATGTGTCGTCCTCGGTGAAATAGATCACCTCCTCGATGCGGAGCCACTTTGGTGGGTTCTCCTCTTCATGCTCTAGCTCATGGGTGGAGGTTTGAACGGCCAAGGTGCTACAGCCCGCGACTATAGACCCATCCGTGATCATGTTAATGACTCCACAAACCGGGTGGTCGTTCTGTTGCTATTCGCGCAAGGGCTGCTCTCTCCTCAACGGAGCCTCTTCTCTTCTTGGCTGGTTGGCATGTCGGTCGTGGTCATCTCTCTTGATAAACTTTTTCATATATCCCCTCTGGATCAACTCTTTGATCTCATCCCTTTAGATTTCGACAGTTTTCTGTGTCGTATCCTTGCTCTTTATGGAAGTGGCAATATTTGTCTTGGTTCTGGTTGGCTGGGTTGCCCTTCAGGGGAGGTGGCCACTTTAGGTATTTGGCCGAGTCCCTTCTGGCATTCAGAGGAGTGTAGTTCTTTGTCTTTATCGGTGGAGTCTGGGAGTATCGACCTAGTGACTTGCTGCTTCTCTAGGGAGATATGGTTCTGCGGCAGGGAGACCTACTGCACCTGTTGCAAGGCAACCTACCATGCCTGGGTGACCTACTTTTCTTCCGCTGCTTATTGCTACCTTGGTCATCTTCCAATCTCTTCCTCTTCCCACTCAGCTTGCTTCTGAAACCGAGTGCTTCCTCTGCCTTGATGTACTTGGCGGCCTAGTCTTTGCCTCTTCCTCATCCTTTAGGGTGAAGCGGCTTTTCCCTGGGTCACGTCGGGTGCATCTATGACGTCTCCTTTGGGACCCCTTAGTGGAACTGGTATTGGTAGGCCTGACCGAGGAGGTAGCCCGACTAGTTTCCTTTATTGGGACGTAGGTGGAGTCCCGAGCTTCCTAGGTGCAGGCCCTCTCCAAGTTAATGGTCCTAGGCATCTGACTCTAGTTGCTATGATGGGCATTCTACTGGCAGAGGGGATCCGACACTTGGTTCTGGTTCTGGTTCAGGCCAACAGGCTACTGGTTCAAGTTCACTATTGGCGTAGGGACATGACTAATGACCTGTTGTTGTGGCTGCTGTGGTGGTTACGACATCTACAATCCGAGCATGGAAATTTGCCCTATCTGAATGTTTTGCATTGTGGCATTTTGGATAGATTGATTTTGCTCCCCAATCGAAGTGCCTTCAACTTGGATGTTGTCGGAGATATTGACATTGTTGTTGCTTGTTGAGGCCATTGCTTAAATCAGAGAGTATGTGAGAACTTAGATTTTATGTTATGGTTCCCATAGACAACGCCAATTGATGGTGTGTGATCTGGTGCTCCCTACTGGAGGATAGTTCGAATGACAGACTGACTAGGTCGGTTGGCCGAGTTGCAAGAAAACTGTTAGAGTACTCAGGATGGGCACTCTGATGCTTAAGTTAGCAATGAGTGTTAGACAGTTATGCCCTTAGCTCCAATCAGATTGATGTATCTTTTGACATTTATTGTAAATGAATAAAGTACATAATTGATTCATGTCATTATGGTATGTTTCTGTGTAATACCCTTAAACTAGACACTTATAAGACTCGTGTTAGTTTAGAATCTTCACAGTTGTTGGATAGATCTGGGGAGATTTATCCTACCAAGGCTAACACTGATGTGTTGCCAAGTTGGTTGGGGTGGCTTGTCTCAGCTGCCAGRGTGAGACYTGAGRTACATGYAGTKTRGKTTTKCTTGAAACCTTGAACCGGACCAAATTCCAGTATTGCCCTGGACCTTGGACCTTGGAGATATATGGGCAAAATTGGAATGTTACTAGGTGTTGGATTGGGCTGTCTTTGATATGCCAATTAGTGAGATCCTTAGAGGGGGTCAAAACCTGGGTATGCTGGGATAGTCTGAGAATTCACCTAAGTGGGTGATCATAGTGACAAGATCAGCCCCTTTGTCGGACAAAGTGAATGATCGGGGAATGCACTCTCTTTGATGAAAACCTAAACTACCGGCAGTTGATTTCAAACGTTGAAATTTGGTTTTGCAAAATATGTTTGTATAAAGATATACATATATATTATGGTTTCAAAATGTTTGCAAAAGGTTTTAATTCCTGGGATCCATGTGAGTAGAGAGTGCAGCACTGTACCTTGCAGCCGAGGGAGAGGTCCTCTCTTGTCGGGCAGTGTTTGATCATTATGGGCTGAGAGGTTAAGTGTAAGACCATTG